TATCTTTCAATTATCACTTGACATTTCTACAATTAAATGTGATTAAAATGTCCGCTGTGCAGTAAAAACTGCGTTTTACATTACTCTCGGCTATTTTCTTCGGGATCCCGATAACTCGAACTCCTGATAACTCGAACCTTTTTTCGATTTCCCTTGAAGGTTCGAGTTATCGGGAGTCGACTGTACCTTTAATGTGGTTACTTCGTAAGCAAGAAAAAATACAAAAAGCTCTTTTGCTCTCTTCTTTCTGAAAACAAATATCGATAATGGCGGTCCATGTCGGTAGTCGGTTAATTTTTTTTTCTGTCGGTAGTCAGTAATTTTTTTTTCTCGTTTTGTAGGTAGTCGGTAGTATTTTTCGCCCTTTGTCGCTAGTCGGTTAACCCCATTCACACTCTCAACTTTGGTTTGAGAGACTCAAACATCAAAAGGCAAACTAGTACGACAGCGTTAGCTAATAATGAAGAAACTTAAGATGGCTAGACTGGATATTTTTTAGAAGGGATACTTCTTAAGTTTGATTATTATTCATTCAAAATATTTCCCCAATTCTAATTGGCTAAAAGCACACACATAATTCACCATAACCAGTTACTGATGACCAAATTTGTAAGAATCTTGAGTTTAACGAGGAAATGACGTCAAAAATGCAGCCCTCTACAGGTTAATGCACCGTTAACTGAGAAGACCTGGGGACGAGGTTGAGTTGTTTTCGTTGTGAAAACTAAAATGGCGGACACTTCACTTTACTATTTACTATCTCTCTGTGAACTCGGACGCGGCCTCCTCTATTCAGTTCCAACCTAACACATTTTCAGTACGTTCAATTCACTGCACTTCGTACTGCAAATCAAGACGGATATTACAAATTATTACAAAATCGTCTACAGACGTTCTCTAAACTTAAGGCAAAACTGCGTTAAAACTTGTTTGAAGAAAAAGATGGCTTTTCACCGCACAATAGGGATCAAAGGGAATCTGAAAAAAATTATCCATGTTGCCTGTATGGATCATACAGATCGTCCTCTAAAGTTTTTAATATTTCATTCACACCTGGCATGGACTGAGGACTGATAGTTAAAACTATCAGTTTTTAGGGAAAGGAAAAAATAATACAATTCTTTTCCGGTACAAAAACAAAAACGTTTAATACTTCATGCTTGTTTAAATTCTAGGAAACTACTTAAAAGAGTTGACTACAATAATTAATGTGGAAAGTGAAGTATGGAAAAAGAAATACTTTAATTTGGTTTGAAACAAAACGTTTCAATTAGAAATTTCGTCTATACCTCGGAATCGCCGTTTCAAGAGCATCTGACATATGTAGGGACCTTACGAAACTACGACGGCGACGGCAAGGAGAACGCCTAAAATACAAAAGGCTTGAGTGAGCAAAACGACAGTTCTGGCGGCACGTGCATCACGCTTTTATTTACATTTCTTTGTTGTCCCTACACAACTACAACTTGGAATAGTCAAATTTTGAGTTGACGGGCTTAAGAACAGGAACGACAAGGCGATAAATTTATTTACTATCTCTCTGTGAACTCGGACGCGGCCTCCTCTATTCAGTTCCAACCTAACACATTTTCCGTACGTTCAATTCACTGAGCGACTTGGTATGAGGGCGAAAAAGTTTGAATGGACGCGAAGTCTATTTTTCAGCGACGTTTTCATTGGCGTCTCCGTTTTCGGATAGTAAGGTCCCTGTTGGGTTGTATTCTCATCGTCCTTTGGTTCTTGTACCCTCCTTAAACACCACTGCTTCCAAACTATGATTTGAGACAAATCGCCAGGGATTTGCCGGCCCCAAAACTGCCTCCTACGATGCCTGACACAATCCGCTATCAAAAGCAGTTCTGCCAACTAATATTAAGATCTATGTCCTTCAAAATTCAAAAATGATCAAGTGGAAGGCTCTACACGGTTACTTTTCCGCCTGAATTAAACCACCTGACTGATAAGCCTTTTAAACTCTTTCTTTATGTCTCTTTTGAAAAAAGCATAAGACATTGGGTTAATGGCCGAGTTTAAAACCAATACAGGAATTTTGTATTGTTCATCTTTACATGATGCATTTGTGTCGGATAGTACTACGAGACTACAACGTAAATATATTCCATAGCACACAACAAACACTCCTATCACAATACTCATCATTATTACTGCAGACGTCTCTTTATGGGTTTTAAAAGATATCCCATGGTTAAAACGTAACTGTTTTGCTAGGGTGCGTGCTGACCGATCATGTTTCCATACATGAAGTAACAGTGACACAAAACAGAATATCTGCAGAACGCATGGAACGATTTCCATGGAAATCATTAAAACCACAACTGCAACGATACTGGTCAGAGGGGTCTCACAGCAAAGTCGAAGTGCGGTCTTGAACGCAACCAATGTGAATGACGCTATCCAACAGGAAGTTATCACTTGAATAACACGAGATCGAGTCATAAGAGTTATGTATTTAAAAGGCTTTACGATGGCGATATAGCGCTCGAGCACCAGAGAACACAAGTTTAAAACAGACAGGTAGCTAAACAGCCACCTTACGACATCTTTCCATGAAGGAAAAGCCTGAGGCCAGTAGCAGGTGCTTGTAACGTCGCATACAAACAAAGAAGGAATAATGCTCAAACCAACACAGAAATCCGCTACTGCAAGTGAAACAATAAACGCGTTGGTTTTGGTGCGGAGATTTCGTCTGCTGCAGACGAGGAAGATTACAAATCCATTTCCAGTGATGGCAAGAAACGAAAGAACCCATCCAAGAATCAAAAACCAGGTCTCCATCCGTACTAACGGCAGTTAAGAGAAGTTCTTATTAACTACAGATAAAAGAAAAATATCCTCTTTGCAAATATGTCAGGAGGTTTTGAGTTATTCACTGGCAAATGTAAATTGTTACTAGACTGAAGTCCTTTTTATTGTCCTACTTTGTCATAAACTTGGTAATTTCTAATAATTATGTGTTTCGTATGCGCAGTAGGTATCTGACCGAACTGTCGCAACACAGTTGGTAGGAAAATGAGGATAGTTGCGTGTCTTAACCGCTGTAATTCAAAGCCAATGGGTACTTTCAATACAACAAAAATTCCGGTTTGAAATGTTGTTAATTCCAGTTGCTCAATTGAACTACATCGACCCGTGCAAAGCCTTGACGCGTTTGTTTATTGTTCCTACAAAGGAGCGGTATTTGAGAAAACATTTTTGTCACTCCATGCAACATTAGCGATCTTAATCTAAATTGCTCTGATCTGGCTGGATCTTAATTATTCTTTTTACAACTAAACCAGTCTGGTCTGTCAGTAACAACAGATGGAATTAACGGTGACCTTAGCCGTGATTTAAAAAAAATGTACCTTCACTTTAGTCTAAATTGAGGCCGACATATTTCCTACAAATTGCGACAGGTCTACTACAAATTACGACAAAAGTGCATTAATAAATAAAAAGCCAAGGCCGTCTCTTAAATATCACGTACAGCGCGTTACTAAATTTGCCTGAGAACGTTTCCACTGTTGTCGTTAACTATTCATATGCGAGAAAATAAAACAAGACCGATAGGAGCCAGCAGCATCACGGTAATCTGCCTAGACTGTTCCGTTTAACTCCACTGCTATACTAAATAGAGTATGCAATGGTTTTCAGTTAATAAATAGAGCAAGGAAAAAAAAATAAACTGATCACGATGTGAAACAGGAACACAATGTCGATAAGTTTTTAACGGCAGTTCAACTGTGCAAAAAACACCCTCTTCAAAAAAACTTCTTGAATGTCTAACTGTTAATTAATTATTTATAGAACCTTGTTATTTTATAATCCTTTACATAGGTATATATATACATGGCGCAAGACGCCTGGGGTGTCGATATGATCTTTAAGAACTGTTTCACTAGCTCAGTTATCAATCAATTAACAATATTGTTTAGTTAGATGCCTTCTACTTTATTTTTATTTCGTACAGCTAAATTGGAAGGTTTTATTATTCATTCGGCATGCAACGATTTTAATATCGTTCCAGCCACAAGCAACTCGTCTATCCAATTTGCTGTTGGGCTTCCTTAGCAACCAATATTAATTTCTTTGTCATGATTTCTACAGAATTTTAAGGAAAATTAGTTTTACTTTCGTGTAATGTTTGATAGCTACCTTTTTTTCTCCATAACAAGTCATTTTACACTTTACACGATTTTATCATTTCAGTCACACCTGCAGGACTGAGCTGAAATAAACTTGCACGGAAAGATTACAAAACAACTACATTTCTTTATTTGTGTTTTTCTCAACAAAGAAATTACTTCATATAACAAGAATATCGTACAGTTAATCTTTCAGTTCGGTTCGGTAAATTCTAGGAATCTACGGCCGTTAACAGAGTTGATTACGAAGGCTATTGAAGAAACAACCTCAGTGTGGAGGAAAATTGGCGCCAAGCCTTATGAAGTCACCGAACCTCGAACTTCTGAACTTGTCAATCTTCATTTCTCTTTTCAAACTGGTATTCAGAGTGTAAGCATCCGTTTCAGACTGAGATTGACAAACTGATGATTATAACCGATGAGCCCAATGTACAAAGCGCACGGCTATTAAGCCTGGGTTCCAAACTATATCCAAGCAACAAGCAGCACATGCTCACGCTATCTTTGTTACTCGATTGACACAGAGTCATGCTGGAGTATGCCAAAATCGAGCAAGTGAAGCAAAGCGGGCTTTGGTAGCAGGGTGTGAAATTGTACTCTCATGATGTGAAACTAAAAAGTTCCATCCAATAAGAACTTGTATTTCCCTTGTATTTTCTGTTAGGGTCAAAAGGTTCTTGTTTTCTCTCCTAATCGGCTCCAAATTTTCCAAATTTCAATTCGCTTTGAGTCCATGCCTCACTCATTCATCAGTCTTTTACTGAATTGCTCAAGCCTTTCACACTCGTTCATAAAAGACTTACATCCTACAAGAATGAGTTACGCACGTCAAGTGGTAGGTTTTAGTTAACTTTGTTATTTTCTATAAAACACAGCGCCAACGAGTCTTTTAAACTCTTTCTTTATGTCTCTTTTAAAAAAGGCATAAGCCAGTGGGTTAATAGCTGAGTTTAAAACCAAGAAAGTAATTTTGTAGTTTTCATCATTACATGGTGATGAGGATAGTATTAGAAAACTACAACGTAGATACATACCATAGCAAACAAGAAACACTCCTATCACAATACCCATCATTATTACTGCGGACTTCTCGTGATGGGTTTTAAACGATACCTGATGGTTAAAACGCAACTGTTTTGCTAAGGTACGTGTTGACTGATCATGCCTGCATACATGAAATATCATTGATACAAAGCAGAGCATTAATACAACACATGGAAGAAACTCGGAAATTATGGTCGGCCAAATAAAAGGACACTCGGAGGTATCGTTTTGAAATAAGACAATACAAAGGGTATTTTTTAGCGCATTGTAACTAACTGGTAGAGCCCAAGAGAAGAAAATAACTTGGGTAATTCGACGGCGAGTCATCAAAGTAATATATTTTAGAGGATAGACGATGGCAATAAAACGGTCCAGTACTAAGCCGCATAAGTTTACAACAGACGAGTGACTAAACAACAATCTTATAATATTCACCCACGATAACCAATAATCAGGCCAGTGGCAGGTGTTTGTAAATTCGCAAGCTAACAGAGAAGGAATAACGCTCAAACCAACACAGAAATCCGCTACCGCAAGTGATACCACAAACGCATTGGTTTTGGTGCGAAGATTTCGTCTGCTGCAAACGAGGAAGATTGTAAATCCATTTCCAATGATAGCCAGAAATGAAAGAACCCAGCCAAGAATCCAAAACCAGATCTCCATCTTAACAGTTAAAGGAAGTTCTTATCAACTGCAGAATATAACCAACATCTTGCGTAAATATCAGGGACACTGAAATCTTTTCCTATGTAAACGTTCTCTTTTGTTCCAATAAATTTGCATAGGTGCTGGCCACGTGAGTGAAAATGCCCTATTTGTTCTTTACATTGTCTTAATTTGCTAATTAATGTCATTAAATAATAGTTTGTATTGGGCTGTGTTATCACAAAAATGTGCATCAAGACAATAATACATTAATACTAAATGTTTCTTTGTGTGTTTGATAATAAAATAGCAATAACATGTTGTAATAAATTCTTGGAATATAATACATTGTTAAAGGTGAAAGTGTTCTTTATCGCTTAATGTCAAAAATGTTGTTATGTAGCGTTTTTTAATGTACCGTTCCAGCGGTGGAAATCTCGTCTACTCTTGCTAGGGTTTCCCATGGTCCCAAGGGAAGGAGGGGGGGGGGATGGAGGAATTCTTTAGAAATTTTTCGGGTGGTAATGTGCCGCTGGGACACTGGGACACCTAGTATTTACTCCTGGTTCAGCTGAATTTTGGAAATATTTTGAAACAAAGTTTGAAGGGCCATAAAAAACATTGAATAAATATGTTATCGACATGCATAACTGGCTTATATCTAAAGAAAATGATGAGGTCTTGAAATGCAGTTTCGTCTCATAGCATAGCGATTAATTTCCGAAGATATCTCTGAATTATGCTAATGTTGGAGATCATGGTAAAGACAACATCTTTAGAGTCACTTTTTCATCATGTGGGACACAGAAATAAATCGCTTTGCAATAGTTTATTTGAATTTATGTTTCCTTTTTGCAATACCTGTTTTCAGTTAACTTTTTTAGCTTTATTTTCATTGGTACGGAGACCCCTGAACATGACAGGAAAGTAACTGAGGATCCTTCTGAAAGCAAATTAGAACAGCTACTACGTAATGCAAATCAAGACGGGTATTACAAATTATTACAAAATCGTCCACTGACGTTCTCTAAACAGCTTTAAAACTTGTTTGAAGAAAAAGATTGCTTTTCGCCACCCCATAGGGATCAATGGGAACCTGAAAAAAAATATCCATGTTGCCTGTATGGATCATACAGATCATGCTCTAAAGTTTTTAATATTTCATTCACACCTAGCATGGACTGAGGTTAATTAACTATCAGTTTTCAGGGAAAGGAAAAAATAATACAATTCTTTTCCTGTACAAAAACAAAAACGTTTACTTCATGCTTGTTTAAATTCTAGGAAACTACTTAACAGAGTTGATTACAATAATTAATGTGGAAAATAAAGCCAGGAAAAAGAAATACTTTCCCTTGGTTTGAAACAAAAAGTTTAAATTAGAAATTTCGTCTACCACTACCTTTGACGTAGGCTTGATACCTCAGAATCGCCGTTTCAAGAGCAACTGACATATACTGCTAGGAACCTTACGAAACTACAACGGCGACGGCAAGAAGAACGCCTAAAACACAATAGGCTTCAGTGAGCAAAACAACAGCTCCGGCTGCACGTGCCTCACTTTTTTTTGTACATTTCTCCGCTGTCCCTACACAACTACAACGTGGAATAGTCAATGTTTTTTAGATGACGGGCTTAAGAACTGGAACGACAAGGCGATAAATTTATTTACTATCCCTCTCTGAACTCGGACGCGGTCTCCTCTCTTCAGTTCGAACCTAACACATGTTCCGCACTTTCAATTCACTGGGCGACTTGGTATGAGGGCGAAAAAGTTTCAATGGACGCGAAGTCTATTTTTCAGCGACGTTTTCATTGGCGTCTCTGTTTTTGGATAGTAAGGTTCCTTTTGGATTGTATCCTCGTCCTCCTTTGGTTCTTGTCCCCTCCTTAAACACCAGTGCTTCCAAACTATGATTTGAGACAAACCGCCAGGGATTTGCCGACCCCAAAACTGCCGCCTGCGATGCCTGACACAATCCGCTATCAAAGGCAGTTCTGCCGACCAATATTAAGATCTATGTCCTTCAAAAATGATCAAGTGGAAGGCTCTACACGGTTACTTTTCCGCCTAAATTAAACCAGCTGACTGATAAGCCTTTTAAACTCTTTCTTTATGTCTCTTTTGAAAAAAGCATAAGACATTGGGTTAATGGCCGAGTTTAAAACCAATACAGGAAATTTGTATTGTTCATCTTTACATGATGCATTTGTGTCGGATAGTACTACGAGACTACAACGCAAATATATTCCGTAGCACACAACAAACACTCCTATCACAATACCCATCATTATTACTGCAGACGTCTCGTTATGGGTTTTAAAAGATATCGGATGGTTAAAACGTAACTGTTTTGCTAGGGTGTGTGCTGACCGATCATGTTTCCATACATGAAGTAACATTGACACAAAACAGAATATCTGCAGAACGCATGGAACGATTTCCATGGAAATCATTAAAACCACAACTGCAACGATACTGGTCAGAGGGGTCTCACAGCAAAGCCGAAGTGCGGTCTTGAACGCAACCAATGTAAATGACGCTATCCAACAGGAAGTTATCACTTCAATAACACGAGATCGAGTCATAAGAGTTATGTATTTAAAAGGCTTTACGATGGCGATATAACGGTCGAGCACCAGAGAACTCAAGTTTAAAACAGACAGGTAGCTAAACAGCCACCTTACGACATCTTTCCATGACGGAAAAGTCTGAGGCCACTCACAGGTGCTTGTAACGTCGCATATAAACAAAGAAGGAATGACGCTCAAACCAACACAGAAATCCGCTACTGCAAGTGAAACAATAAACGCGTTGGTTTTGGTGCGGAGATTTCGTCTGCTGCAGACGAGGAAGATTACAAATCCATTTCCAGTGATGGCAAGAAAGGAAAGAACCCATCCAAGAATCCAAAACCAGGTCTCCATCCGTACTAACGGCAGTTAAGAGAAGTTGTTATTAAATACTATTCTCTTTACAACTAAACCAACCTACAAATTGCGACAGGTCTACTACAAATTACGACAAAAGTGCATTAATAAATAAAAAGCCAAGGCCGTCTCTTAAATATCACGTACAGCGCGTTACTAAATTTGCCTGAGAACGTTTCCACTGTTGTCGTTAACTATTCATAAGCGAGAAAATAAAACAAGACAGACAGGAGCCAGCAGCATCACTGTAATCTGCCTAGACTGTTCCGTTTAACTCCATTGCTATACTAAATAGAGTATGCAATGGTTTTCAGTTAATAAATAGAGCAAAAAAAAAATAAACTGATCACGATGTGAAACAGGAACACAATGTCGATAAGTTTTTAACGGCAGTTCAACTGTGCAAAAACACCCTCTTCAAAAAAAAAAACTTCTTGAATGTCTAACAGTTAATTAATTATTTATAGAACCTTGTTATTTTATAATCCTTTCAATATGTATATATATACATGGCGCAAGACGCCTGGGGTGTCGATATGATCTTTAAGAACTGTTTCACTAGCTCAGTTATCAATCAATTAACAATATTGTTTAGTTAGATGCCTTCTACTGCACTATTATTTCGTACTGCTAAATTGGAAGGTTTTATTATTCATTCGGCATGCAACGATTTTAATGTCGTTCCAGCCACAAGCAACTCGTCTCTCCAATTTGCTGTTGGGCTTCCTTAGCAACCAATATTAATTTCTTTGTCATGATTTCTACAGAATTTAAAGGAAAATTAGCCTTACGCTCGTGTAACCTGGGCGAAAAAGGTGACACATTTGATAGCTATACCTTTTTTCTCCATAACAAGTCATTTTACACTTTACACGATTTTATCATTTCAGTCACACTTGCAAGACTAACCTGAAATAAACATGCACAGGAAGATTACAAAACTACTACATTTCTTTGTGTTTTTCTCAACAAGGGAATTACTTCATATAACAAGAATATCGTACAGTTAATCTTTCAGTTGGGTTCGGTAAATTCCAGGAATCTATCGCCGTTAACAGAGTTGATTACGAAGACTATTGAACAAACAACCTCAGTATGGAGGAAAATTGGCGCCAAGCCTTATGAAGTCACCGAACCTCGAACTTCTGAACTTGTCAATCTTGTTTTCTCCCTTCAAACTGGTATTCAGAGTGGAAACATCCGTTTCAGTTTGATAAATTGATGGTCATAAC